TCCGCTTCTCAGAGGTAGGCAGATGGTCCCTGTCCTGTCTAAATATTACACTGTACAGACTTACATTGCTATGTGTTTCTAGAAATATGAGGGCAGATGTTAAATATGTTAAACACACGCTTTGCCCCCTGGAGGTTTAAGTTAAGGCTGCTGTCTCAATTTGGCCATTTTAGGCATGCCAGGCTTCTTGGATCCGAGGCATTCCTTTTAAATCCCTGCTTTGTAAATAGAGCTTTTCATGTTAATTTTGTGTACTTTCATCAAATATCTTGGACACAGAACAAATGCAGGCAGCATTAAGCTTAGCATTACACATTTATACAGGATTTGCTGAAAATTATGAGCCTCATTCATGAAAATTGTAGTTCCACAGTTGGGGTCCTTTCAGTGATTGCTGCTTTCCTACGCGAGTCTCGCTGCACAATTTATATTCAATTCATTAAAAAGACACGAACAAAATAATAGGAGAGAAGCACCTGTGGGAAGCATGAGTGAAATTCTTTTAACTCACTTAAGAGACGTAAGAGATAAAAATGTAAAAACAAAAAGGAAAGGGTCCTTGTCTCTAACTCAGTTGAGCAAAATTTCTGTGGCTCCACCTCTCCAATAACTGGCCTGTGTAAATGCAACAATTATTCCCACAAACCAAGTAGCTGAGCTCACACTCGTGCAATGTTTGACACATTTTCCTTTTCTCTGGTGCTCCAACTACATTACTCACTTCCTCAAGACCCTTAACTGGTTTCCCTCCTCCTTCAGTTATGTATCTGCATTTCTAAGGGATTTATCAGTGCACTCATCTTTTCTATCCTCTCATCAGTTCCATGTATGTGTCATTCTACGCTTCTTCCAGTTCCTGTGTTTGACACTTTTGGCTCCTTCTAGCAGTTATGACTTGGGTGCTTTTCTGATGCACACCAAACCTTTCCAATTTATTGTTCATTAGAGCTCCTCTCCACACCCACTCCCACTGGGGTTGCCACCTGTCTGCACATTTATGGACAGTCCATAAAAAAAAACAAAAAAACCCCCCAAAAACCAAAACAGGGCTAAAAATGCCTATCTAAATTCTGTAAAAAAAAAAAAAAAAAAAAATATGGAGCTGTCCATAAAAAAGGTAAGCAACTGTGAGCTCGGCTCAAGATCCATCATCTGAGCACAGCCACCTGGTGTCTAAGCGGGAGCACAGCTCAGCACTAGGGCTGTGCGAAGCTTTGGTCACGGTTTCGATTCGGATTCTCTGAATCCGAATCGAATCAGGAGACGCTTTAATCTCTCTGAATCAAACCGGAAGCCTCTGAATCAATTTGGAGAGATTCAGAAAGATTCGACGATTCGGGCATAGGCACAGCTTTAAATGTCTTTTCTACATACCTCTAGGTACCAGGCGGCTCGTGAATGCTGCGATGTTGCAGTGAAAGGAGTGTCTCACAGGAGCACAGGGGGTAGTAAAAACATTTAAAGCTGTGTATATGGCCAAATCTTTGATTCTCTGAATCAGCATTGAATCTTCAGATTTGGATTAATCGAATTGGGATAGTGATCCAAATCAACAAATTGAATCCCTGCCCACCGATTCAGGCCGAATCCAAATCGAATACGGCCCATTTCACACATTGCAGTGAAAGGAGTGTCTCACAGGAGCACAGGGGGTAGTAAAAACATTTAAAGCTGTGTATATGGCCAAATCTTTGATTCTCTGAATCAGCATTGAATCTTCAGATTTGGATTAATCGAATTGGGATAGTGATCCAAATCAACAAATTGAATCCCTGCCCACCGATTCAGGCCGAATCCAAATCGAATACGGCCCATTTCACACATCCCTACTCGGCACCCTTCACAGATGACTCCCCTCAAGACTTTGTTGCCCAAGGCAGCCCCTGTAGCCCCCTCCTCCTTTCAGCCATGTGCTGCTCCAGAAGCTGAGTCCCATCACCTGCCTCTAATACCGCTCACCATCAGATAGGCAGGGCCACGTGGTCCTGGGCAAGACAGTGATGGAGTGGTACAGCTTGGATGGAGCTGTAGGGCCAAGTGTCTGTGCAGGGATAAGGGCAGTGGGGTTGGTAGAGGTAAGGCTGAGTGGCGATCTGGAGGGGGCAGCAGGGTGCAATCAGGGGTATTGGGATGTGGAGATGACAAGGGGACCCCTGGGGTGGAGGCAGCACTCTGTAAAACCATTGTTCCAGTCAAGCACGGTTGCCAACCCAAGAACAGGGTGGGGGTTTTTTAACTGACAATCTGAAAACTTTTTACAGACAACCTTTTACAAAACTTGTTTTTTGCTGCTGTTGTTTTTTTTTGGTTTTTTTTGTTTTGTTTTGTTTTGTTTTTGTTTTGTTTTTACTATGGTTGGTGTTAAAACCCTGAATTTGAACCTGGTCCTTTTTACTGCCATCCAGGGCCTGGCAGAAGACTTATATTGTTACATTTACATCATGTAAAACATGTCAGTAAAGAGCTTGCAGATTGTCAGTAAAAAAAAAAAATTAAAAAAAAAAAAAATGGGTTGGCAACCCTGAAGCTCACCCTCCAGCACTCATCTCCATCCTGGTACAATCCATTTTCCTATTTCATCTGTGATTATATTTTAAGTAAAAATATCATGACAAAATGATTTGACCTGAAGGGCCTGACAAAACTTTTACCTGGAACAGGAAGAATAAGATTGGGTAGTTAAGACTATACAATCTTTAGACCTACTCAGGCACATCTGTGATATAATTCTGTAAAAAAATAAATAAAAATGGAGCTGTCCATAAAAAAAGGTAAGCAACTAATTATATATTTATAATATATAATTAATATATTTTACAAAATAACCTAAACATTAATCAGAGAACACAGGTAATCAGCTAGGATTAAAGGCATGATCCTGAAGTCTTTAGTCAGCAAGTAGGCGTATGACATTTAAAGGTGCTACGCTCTCTGATCCCAACAACAGTGCCTCCTGCCACACCACAGATGCACAGCAGGATGCACAACTGCGGAATAAGGAATTGGATCCCAGTCATGCCTTTTCTACTCTCCCCTGCACCAACATGTTGAAAGCCAAGTGCCTGCAGCCCAGCATGACCCAGTGCACTCCTGGGGCCAGGGCTGATAATCAGCTGACTGTTGGTTCTGGCCCTGGGGCAGCCCAGGACCAGCCACACGTTCAATTTAAGGTGCCCTACAAACCAGGCATAAAAATATTCTACATTATATGTGGAACATTTTTATGGCTGGCTTGCCGTTTTAAGACCCCTTAAACTGGGTGGATGTGTAGCATCCTTGCCATTTATGCCATGATTAATACTTTAATTGAGACATAAATGTAACGTGCAGAGAGGCCCTTACTCAATTAAAATCTCTACTCTAAGGCAGTAAGGGTGAATTTCACCCGCCCCAACATGAAATTTAAGTAATTTCATTCTCAGCGGGAAACTAAGAAAAGCTAGTAAAATGATATTCACTCCGCACCCTTAAACTCAAGGGATTGGCTGCAGACATCCATCTCCTCCACTATTTCATCCAACCATGATAGGGACCGGGCAGAGCCACTGGAACCCTATAAGCACATCTCTCATAAATACAGAAATCTCAGTCAATAAGAGAACGACTGAGTCAGACTTTTTAAATAAAATTCTAACTAGCAAGCCTCCAGGGAACCGAGCTTCTCCAGAAAGGAAAACAAAAATCAATGACTAATGAGAGATTGTCTTTACGAGCTGCAGAAACTGGATATTTCAGACTTCTCCAGAGACAACTGACCGTGTGATCAATTTTAGGGGCCAATACTCCAAAATTTTAAAATTGATGAAATCAGAACTTTGGGCTCTCTCAGCGAAGCGTGCGCGGATTGATAGTTTACATAGGGCTGACCGAATGCCCAGAATTCTCTTAATAATGACAATATCTACCTATGCAGGAGCATTTTCCATATGAAAGCGTCTCGTGGAGCATTATACACTGTACCTAGCCAATTATGAAAGCGCAGCTGATTCTGAAGTAAATGAATGATGGATCAACAAGCAAAGAGCGTTCGGCAGAACATTAGGTGAACAGGATTTGTTTAAGCCCCCAGAGCAAACTCCTCCACCTTTGAAAAGTCCCGTGGGCTTTTTACTGGCTATAGGGAGGAGAATTTAAATTTGTGACCGCCTCAAGTGTGGGCACTTCAAACCTGAGCCTTAGCCTATTGTACTAAGTTGAGAGACTGCGATGAAGAATGCTGTGGGGATAATCCATTGAGACCAGGTCTCTTGTAGCTCCTGTGAGTGACCCTGGGGATGAATAATGCGAACGGAAGGAATCCTGTCTAGTCAGACCCGTAATGCCAGGGCATGGAATGTATAAACCTATGCGAGAAAGACAGTGGTGTTCCAGGCTGTGAGATGTGCATTATATCACACAAAAACATATTACAAGCCTGAATCACAGACAGACAGAATCATGTCAGGAAAATATCAGAACACAAGATTCTGCATTTAGGATTTTTTTTCCATGTATACTTATGATCACCCTGCCTGAGAGTGAACCTTCACCTGTCGCTGAAGAATTTAGAAATTAAAAAGAATCAAGGAAGTTTATTTAAGCTGGAAGCCACTCAAGAAATTTACTCTATGCGATTCAATACAGGGCAGGACACATTTCATACATGGGACTTCTACTGATGGCCAAGTAGAATATGTCCATAGAGAGCTTGCAAGAAAATGATCCATCCAAACAAATGCTTCTGAATTCTTAGACAGACTTGGAGATACAGAGATAGAGAGAGAGATACAGAGATAGAGAGAGAGAGATAGATACAGAGATGGATAAGATCTGATGTTGGTTTTCTTTGCTTGTCACTTCCCCAACCCCATCACTTTCTTCCATTAAATTATACAGTCTGTTTCCATTAAATTATACATTGATTGGAAACAAAAAAGACATACTTCACAGCATTGCTAATCACATCAATTAGATCACAAATAACATTAATAAGAAAAAAACCCAGAGGAAGATGCACTTACCCTGTGCGTTTAGTGATGGTCCCCAAGGTCATTGGTTGTTTGATTTGAGCAAGAGGTACCACCACAGTCAAACTCGGGAGCGGCAGAAGGCGTGGATTCCCAGGGTTATTGTTTGTGAAATTATTGTACGTGTCCTGGCTGTTCAGTTTACCTTGATGGGATGAAGACATTAAGAAATGTGTTACTGGACATTTCTCCCAAGTTGTCGTTTCTGATAACTGTGTGAAATTAAAGTTTAAAAAACCTACAAAAACAAACTTCTGCCACTGGGGCGGGGGGGCAGAAAAAAAAAAAATCACAGCACTCACCTGGAAGCCAGAGAAAATATATGAAAGTAGTTAAAACAAAAATAAAATTATTTTTCATGTATAAGGGGATGGGCTAGAGTCTCCCACATTAACAAAGTAGGTCACGGTGCTGCTGTTCTACTGAGCAAGTTTCAAATTGACATTTCAGAAACCATTTTGCAAAATAGATTCGAGATCCAAATTCTTCATGAAAAAAGGAAATAAGCTTAAAAAAATAAAGTAAATAAAAAAGGGCCATTTGTCCTGCAGCACCTCCTAATGCACTTTGCATTGAAAAGTGCTGAAAAGGTCACGTCTGTGGTCTCGGTGCATGAAGGTACACCATGATAACAACAGTCCACTGCACTGAGAAGACCAAACTCACAATTAGTTATATATGTGTAAAGAAAAGAGTGCAATTAAACTAAAACACCAGAAAAAGCAATCAAGACTTTATTGGTAAAACAGATGAACTCCGCTCTCCCTCAAAAAAAAGAATAAACTAGCAAGAACAAAGGCAGTTAGGGGGGGAAAAAAAAAAGGAATAAAAGACACTAAACTTAACTTGTTTCAAATTTCTAAGACAGGAGGTCTGTGCTGGATACACGCCCAGTTCAGTTCTGCTTCCTTACTTTCTGTATCATTCTGTAGTCACAACCTTTCATTCTTCAGTTAGAAAAGGAAACTAGCTACAAATTTCATGGCCGGTAGGG